CATGGAAGAGTACATCATTCTTTATGCCCAGTCACTGTATCAGGCATGTCTGTATGAGGAAGCCTACAAAGTAACGTGCACAGTGGAAAGCCCAGAGTTTCAGGGAAAAGTGAGATAATTCTTTTGTTAATTTTTTTCCATAATTCTCTAAATGCATTTGCAGTAAATTTTTAGAAGTATAATTCCAAGATGTGGTATTATCTAAGAAATGTAGAGTAGGAGAACCTCTGACACGCTCTGTTGAGACCATTTCAGGCTATAGTCATTCTTTTTTCCTTTGCATGGACCTTTGGGTTGAATAGTTGAAATGATCTGATAAAATTGATATGGCCAGTGAAATATACACTGTAGTACTTGAAGGTTCTGTTCAATCCCTTGAAGGGTAATCATTCTTTGTTCAAGAGATCTTGAGGTTGAAGATCTTAGGGCATCAAATTGAGAAATACACCACAGAATCAAATACTCTTTCATCACTACACTTTTACTTGACTCAATTACTGAAAAATAAATTTTGGATTAATTTGAATTTTGTAAATATGTGCTCTCAATCTATTTCACCAGGAAGTGGAGTAGGAATGTAGCCAAATGTCCCTGTAACGAAATGTCTTGTAACGAATTGTCCTGTAACAAAAAGTCGCTGTTACGAAACGTCGCTGTAACGAAATGTCGCAGTAACGAACTGTCCGTAACGAACTGTCGGTAAACCCTTGAAGGGTAATCATTCTTTGTTCAAGAGATCTTGAGGTTGAAGATCTTAGGGCATCAAATTGAGAAATACACCAAAGAATCAAATACTCTTTCATCACTACACTTTTACTTGACTCAATTACTGAAAAATAAATTTTGGATTAATTTGAATTTTGTAAATATGTGCTCTCAATCTATTTCACCAGGAAGTGGAGTAGGAATGAAATAAATTACTATTTGCTCTCTTTTGCATGGTGATGTATGAGCTTCTTCCTGGTTTCTCATTGCTATATTTTTCAAAAGATCACAAAACTTCAAGCTGCAATTAAATATGGTGAAGAAGATGTGGCAGGAGCAAAAAGTTTGGTTGACCAATGTCCATCTGATGACCCAGACACTGAAATAAACCATGGATGTCTCCTTTACAAGGTATTGATCCATTCTGGTCAATATTCAACTTTTTATTAAAATTGATGAGAAACTTCAGGAAGGTCGTTATGAAGAAGCTGTACAACGTTTCCTTGGAGCCCTGCAAGTCACAGGTTACATCCCTCACTTGGCATACAACATATCCCTCTGTTACTACCGCATGAAGCAAGTTGCACCTGCCTTGAAACACATTGGTAATGATAATTTCATTCACTATATTCACTCATTTACATGAAGATATGCCTTTGTTGTAGCTGACATCATTGAAAAGGGAATAAGTCAACACCCTGAGCTTGGAGTTGGAATGGGAACTGAAGGAGTGGCAGAAAGAAGTGTTGGCAACACTCTGACCCTGCATCACACAGCTTTAATTGAGGCATTCAATCTAAAGGCAGGAATTGAGTACAACAACAAAAACTGTGAGTTTTGGCACTTGATGTACCTGAATTGAATTGATTGCTTTGTCTAAAATATTTTTAACCAATTTCATTTTCTTGTGTTGAAGAAATTTCCTCTTCCACAGTTGTGGCTGGGAAATATAAATATTCTTCATAACTTACTTCATTACTTCTATGGCTGAAGAAAACTCAAGAATACACACAAATCTGACTTGAAGTTTTTCTTTAATTTTTTTCTGGAGAGAACTTCCACATAGAATTGCTAATTGTATTGTTGAAAAATCTAAACAATGAAGTAAACATTGAACACATTTACAGAGAGACTAACTTCAATTGTATGTGATTTGCAGATGAGGCTGCAAGAGAATGCCTCACAGATATGCCACCACGCTTGGAAGAAGAACTTGATGCAGTTACACTACACAACCTGGCTTTGATGAGCATGGAAAACAAGCCTACAGAAGGTTTTGAAAAGCTTCAGTTCCTCTTGCAACAGAACCCATTCCCACCAGAAACATTTGGGAATTTGCTGCTTCTGTATTGCAAGTATGAGTATTATGATCTGGCAGCAGATGTTTTGGCTGAAAATGCACATTTAACTTACAAATATTTGCAACCAGTGAGTGTAGCCCTCATTTAAGATTTCCCAGTACCAATTTCTTGATAACTTTTTTTTGTTGCATTTCAGTACTTGTATGACTTCTTGGTGACATTAATGATGCTGGAAACTTCACCTGAAGAAGCATACCAGAAATTTGATGAAATGTCATCAAGACTGGCTGAGCAACTACGTAAGCTTACCAAACAGGTGCAAGAAGCAAGACACAATCATGATGATGAAGGTGTAAAGCGGGCTGTGAATGAATATGAAGAGACATTGGAGAAGTAAGTTGACTGGTTAGCTTCCAAATTGAACATATTTTTATTCAAGACTGATGAAACAATTTAAAACATTTCAAAATAACAGTGAGGGAAGGTAAGAGGTTTAAAGAGCCTCTCCTCTTATTTTTCNTTCCTTGAAATTTTGATACAACTCCTCAAAGGGGAATTATTTGAATGGAAAAAGGGAAAATCATGTAATTTGGTTGATATGCCTCATTCAAAGAATTCTGTAGACTTGTATCAAAGCTGTCAAACCAGGGTATAAAAAATATACAAATTTTCAATATTTTATCCAAGAACAAGGGCATAAACATGGTACAACATTATCCCAAATTTTGTTGATTCAGCTTCTTGAGCCAACATGTTTCATGATGCTAGAAATGAAAGTGCATTAAAGCAGCTCAAAAAGCTGCTTCAAAACAAATGCAAGGATTTCAAGTTTTGCAGTCAACAATTATAACTCAAAATGTTCCAAAAAATGAAAAATCCAAATTGTGATGAAAAAATGTTCAAGGCAATACAAAGGCAAATTTTCAAAATTAGTTTCCCCAGCCAATAGCTCAGCTGATGTTGCTTTTAACTCCCAACTACAATAATTCATTCTTGGGAGGATACAGAATTCTCCATCAAAATTGATGATTTACTCCTTCATCTGTTCCATTTTTATATTTCAGGTACATTCCAGTGTTGATGTCACAAGCTAAGGTTTACTGGGATCGGGAGAATTATGGCCAAGTTGAAAAGATTTTTCGAAAATCTGTGGAGTTCTGCAATGATGTTGACATTTGGAAGCTCAATGTTGCTCATGTGCTCTTCATGCAGGAAACAAAGTTCAAGGAGGCCACTGGTTTCTATGAACCCATTGTCAAAAAGCACTATGAAAATGTGAGACCTTTTTAACAATGCAAATTGTATGACATTGATTGGGACATTGCACATCTCCTTAATTGACACCAATAAAAAGCAATTGTAACAATTTCCAGGAAACTGTGAGGAACTCATTAAAAAGTTTGAAGAGCCTTTGTACTCACTTCTAGGAATTATGTTGCTAATTGGTGAAATCTAATGAAGGTCAACTACAGTATTTACATCAGATAAGAAGAAAAAGCATGACATATTCTCAAGTGATTATTACTCAACCATTGCAAAATGTGTGCATTTTTAGCTGATCAATTATACGTGCAACAATTTTGTTCCAAAAGGATTAAATCTTGAACAAATCTGCCTTCAAATTTGCTTGGTCAGTTTTTGTTACTCTGCAACTATAGTGTCACCATTTTTGTTTTACTTTACAGATTCTGTCTGTGTCAGCTATTGTTTTGGCAAACCTGTGTGTTTCCTACATCATGACATCCCAGACTGATGAGGCAGAAGAACTAATGCGCAAGATTGAGAAAGAAGAAGAAAATGTTTCCTATGATGAGCCAGACAGAAAAATATACCATCTCTGCATTGTCAACCTTGTGATTGGGTATGTGATAAAATATTTTGGCACTCATTCAAATCCACATTTCATGAAGTGTTTGACATTTCATAGAACTCTCTACTGTGCCAAGAGGAATTATGAGTTTGGAATTTCTAGAGTGATCAAGAGTCTTGAGCCATACAACAAGAAGCTGGGGACTGATACATGGTAAAAGTTCAACATTCAGTGTGAAGATGGAAGTTTCTTCATAAATGAACTTATTCTATAGGTTCTACGCAAAGCGCTGTTTTCTATCACTGATTGAAAACTTGGCAAAGCAAATCATCAGTGTGAAGGACAGTGTCATACAGGAATGCATCCAGTTTTTGGAGCACTGTGAAGGTGAGCTTGCATTTACTGATGCCTGATTATTTTGGTCTATTTTGAATAAAATTGTATTTTCAACAGCTTATGGAAGGAATGTGAAGACAGTTATTGAACAGCCCCTTGAGGAGGCACAGATGCACCCAGGAAAGAACAGTGTCACATATGAAGCACGTTTGCTGAAAGCCCTTCTGCTGGAGCTTCAGGGATGAAAATTTTCTGAGAATATTCTGATCTGGAACAGTATCTGATCATGACATGCTTGATTATTTTGAGATTTACTGTGATGATCTCCTAGTGCATCAAAGAGATTTTCATGGCAACATTTTTTTTGTCAGCTTGAATTTGTTCGCATGGGTGCAAGTTTTCTAAATAAATCATTGATGTATTCTGCAAAGGAATATGGTTCACTCTATTCTTCCTATGCATGACTTCCTCAAGATTTCTTTGTTGAAATCTCTAGTTGAATATTATTCAATAGCTTTAAGAATTACAGAATATTAACAAAGTTCACATTAACTTCTGACTTCTTATGCATCATTCCCATTTTTTGAGATACGATGGAAAATGCAAAAGTGACTTCAATAAATCCTGTATTTTTGTCTGGTTCATTCTCAAACTTCAGGATAACATACCATACCTTTGCATACATAAACTAGCAAAATTTGTAGTTGAAAATATCTGTAGACAAAATTTACCAAGACAACCCAATGTTTCATTTGCAGATGTTACCTCATTTATTCTTTCACATCTTTACTCAATTCTATCATAGCCATACTTTTTAAAATATTAACTCAATGAAACATTTTTAAAATGTTTATTATTCAAGTGTTGAAAATGTATTCATTTGAGAAGAAAAAACAATCTCCAGTGTTAATATTGTATCATATTATCAAAAAATCACACAGCAGCATCGTTGAAAAATGTGAGCATTAAAATGTTATTTAAATAACATATTACATCCATTATTATTGAATTCAATAAATGAAGTAGGAAATAATAAATTGATTTAAAAAAATATTCAATTCATTTTTTATGAACTTGTGCATTGAATTACAGTATATACTGTTCTTTCTCTGCTGTACTTCAATCTGCCTTCCTTTCTTGGTAAATATTATTGAAGTTATGTTCATTCAATTTATTTAATAATCAAAAAATATTATGCAAATACATTTTCAGATTAAAATGTAACCTAAAATGTGTAATTTTTGGATCAAGTATTGAAATATATTTTCACCATATGTTCAGTAAATTGCTTGAATTCAAAAATCATGACTTTCAATTATATTTTCAATCAATATTCGATTTAAAAATTCTTGATTTGTAATTATTTATTGTACAAAATCATTTGATACATTCATTACAAAATCAGGTGATGAATCATTCTTGGATCATGGTCCAATGCCAATGTTCTTCACACCTGACAGCATACTTGAGTTCATTACATCCATCGAATGTTGCTCAAAATATGTCAGGCATGGGGTCAAATGTTTCAAGAAGTCTGGAAAAGCATGGCCTTTCGGAAAAACAAATCCTGATCCGAAGATATTACATTTTTTTTTACCTTCATAATTCAAATCTGAAATTTTCATTTTACTACGGAAAGCTTTATAAAATGACTTTCTCTAATGATGATTCCTTTTTTATTTATGAATTGTATTCTATGTGTATGGAATAAAGGAGAAA